TAGCTATAGTTACATTATAGGTGTGAATAATGGGAAATGCTTAATTGGCACCTTTCCCCTCACCTCTCCCACAAGAGGGGTGAATTATAAATATTAAATTTTTTCTAAGTGTTAACAAATTTTTGCAAAATTACAGATTTAAAAATGCCTCCGATGTTATCTAGGAGACTTTCCTATGTATTTACGTATCTCTTTTTAAAAAAAGCTCATAACTAATTATCATTTATTTATTCATTCATTCATTCATTCTTTTATTTATTTACTTGCTGACTGTATTGTTGACGTCTTACATGTACTGGCACTGGAGGTGGTGGTGTGCCGCTAAGAACAGGAGCTCCTTGGGCTCCTGGGGGGTCTCAGTCAGTTAAGCATCTGACTCTTGATTTTGGCTCAGGTCGTGATCTCAGGGTCATGAGATCAAGCCCCGGGTCAGGTTCTGCACACTGAAGAGTCTGATTGAGATCTCCCTCTCGTCTACCCCACCCCACCACCACCACCCCCTCGATTCTCGAAATAAATACATAATAAAATCTTAAGGGGAAAAAAAAAGAAAAAGGGCTCCTGAGGTGAGAGTCCTGCTTCCAGTCTGGGCTCTTTTCCTTCTACCTGTCTGACCTTGAGGATCTCATTTTATCTCAGTTTCTTTAAAATACTTCCTCCAGTTATAATGAGGATTAATTAGGTAGGTAGTATTTTCTGAGAACTATGTGTGGCTGTTTTGTTCTACAACTTGACTTTTTAATGGCTCTATGGTTTTGACAACTAAGTTTTTTTAAGTCTGAGAAAGCTTTTATGTGTGTTAAGAAACTTACCAGGTGTTTATTTCCATGGATTTTCAATTCAATAAAATTGTTTCAAGACCTAGTTTTTCCTAAGCCTTTAAGCTCCATGTATAAATTTCTTTTATTCATAATTCCAACTTGCAGATGTTAAATGCATTTTCTCTCATCGGTGTCCAACGTCTTTCCTCAACAGATGACCTCTTTCTAAACATTAAAATCCATATTTCAGTTCAGATAAATTTCTTTAATTTTTAAAGTATATTTACATATTTAATATGTCTTCTCAACCACTGCAAATGCATGACGAGGCTGACATACAAGTCTAGCCAGCAGAGCATTTCTGAGCCCTTTGACGGGAGCTCATGTCTATACTCAGTCCCCGCGCCAGGACGCCATCAGTGAGCTATGGGTCAGGACTGCCGACAAGATACGTGCGTCACGAGTTTCACACTTGTACCTTTTCTGATAGCCTTGAGTATCTATCACATGGCCCCTTTCCCATTTAAAAACCATAACCTCTGATGTGAATTATTGAGATTCCTCGTCTCCTACTCAGTGCTAAGTTTGTATTTAATCGGATAATGCGTCCTTCTTATGTAGTATTTATATACTTGTCTCATACTTTTATCATTACTATCTCAAACATAATATTTTATAATGTTACGATAACTATAAGTCATTTAACTAATCCCCTGTTGACGGATATTTAGATTATTTTCAATTTTCTATTCTACATGACTGTTGAAAACATACTTGTAGAAATATGTTGTGTACATTCTTATTCCCTCTGGGTGAACTCAGAGTAGAATAACTGGGTGCCATTACCGCATAATTACTTAATGTCACGTAGCCTAATACCTACCAGTGTGAACCTTGGAATCCTTTTATCAAATTACAGGTAAAATCTTATCGACATTATTAAGGGGAAATGACTAATGTATGTATGAACATGGTATTACAAAATAGAGGTGACAAAAATGAAATAGAAGCTAATAACGTGTTTTCTTGTAATTTGACAAAAAAAGATTCTAAACTTCGCTTAGGGGTGGAAAGAGGAGTAACAGTGGAAGATTTTTTCTACTAGGTAGTCGGCACACATACGATGTGCTCCTGGCATTGAAGAACGTGGCTCTACAGAGGTTTCTGTTCCCTTATTGAATACTTTCTCCCCCCAAAACCAAGTGGATATTGATTTGTATCAAACGCCTTTTTAACTTCACTCCAGATAATCCTGTCTTTTCTGTTTACATGTTTGTGTTTTATTACAGCCCTTTCCTAACTGGAAAACTTAATTGCATTTCTAGAATGCATCATCCTTTGTTTCCCCACCAAAAACCTAACCATATCAGTGTACTAAAACTTTCAGAGTTTTGCACTTGCCTTCAAAGGAAGATTAGTCTATAGAGGTCTTTAACTTTTAAAATAGTCTCTAGGTTAGCTTCTGATATTTTGCAATGTAAGAGGACTTGAAAAGCTTTTCATCTGCCTTGTGCTCTGGCATTAGTACCCTGGACAGATAAACTGATGGGATTGCCATCCACCGAGAGAAACTCCTGTGGCTTTTGTCACTTTCCCAGATACTTACGGGTGGGAAAGGATCACCATAGGAATGAATATGTTGTACTCGTCATCTTTCCTTTTTTAAGATTTTATCTATTTATTTGACAGAGATCACAAGTAGGCAGAGAGGGAAAGGCAGGCTCCATGCTGACCAGTGAGCCTGATGCGGCGCTCAATCCCAGGACCCTGAGATCATGACCTAAGCTGAAGGCAGAGGCTTTAACCCACTGAGCCACCCAGGCGCCCCAGTACTCGTCATCTTGATGACGATCATTGTGTCCTAAGATTGGTTGACACAGGGTGAGTGTGCTCTGTATATTCAGTCTTCTTAATGAGATCCCAAGGAAAATATCAATCTTACTACTAATGACGATAAATGGGCTTTGCATTCACGAAGTGCTCTTACTCCCGGGAGCACAAATCTCTTCATGATTAATTATTTCAGTCATCCTCACAGTTGTCCCATGAGGTGGGTGGCTGAGTGCTTCCTCTTAGGGGGAAAAAAAAAAAAAAAAAAAAAAAAAACCAAACAGGTAACTAATTGGATTTTCTTCGGTTCTACATTCTATGTTCTAGAACTGGGTAGCTACCTTATAAAGACCGCCAGTATGTCCCCCAGTGGACCTGGGCTTCAAAAATCTCAAGCTTGTTTCGCATACAAACACCAGGCTAGGAGCAGATGTGGAGTAGTAAAGTTGGAGGGAATTTTGAGGAGTTTGGTAAGGCGCTCTGTGTGGATTAGCCTGAACTTGATGAAGACAGGCAATGGCCGACTTCGTGTTTGGGCATCTCTGTTAGAAGTGGTAATCCCTGGTGTCAGAGGTTTGTTTCTGCAAATACCTTACTGAGGCACCTCTTCACTGTCTTTACCCTTCCTACCACATTGTGTTGGGATCTTACAAAGAATATCTGTCAATCCTGGTCTCCCAAGAGGGGCACTAGTCCCTTCTCATCCTTCTCTAGCATATTAGTGTCTGTGGCTTTGCACAGGGACCAGAGAAAGGTGTGATGTCTGCTTCTCAGAGATAATCTCTTAGCCCATCTCCATCCTCCAGTGACCCTCCATTGCTCTGCAGGTCGACTTTCATCGTGCTTTCACTTCCCCGAAAAAGGGCAGTGCCTCTCTGTGGACACATCCTGTCAGGGGAGCAGGGATCCAACTAAAACTACGTTTGGTTTGTTTGTGTTTTGTTTTGTTGGAAGATTTATTTGAGAGACAAAAAAAGAAGATCATAGGGAGGGAGGGAGAGAGAATCCCAAGCAAACTCCACCCTGAGTACGGAACTGGACTTGGGGTTCGGTCTCAGGACCCTGCGTTCACGACCTGAGCTGAAACCAAGAGTCGGATGCTTAACCGGCTGTGCCACCCAGATGACCCTAGAACTACATTTTTTTTTTTTTTTAAGATTTTATTTGTCAGGGACAGAGGGAGAGAGAGCGAGCGAGCACAGGCAGACAGAGAGGCAGGCAGAGGTAGAGGGAGAAGCAGGTTCCCTGCCAAGCAAGGAGCCCAATGTGGGACTCGATCCCAGGATGCTGGGATCATGACCTGAGCCGAAGGCAGCTTAACCCACTGAAGGCAGAGGCTTTAACCAACTGAGCCACCCAGGTGTCCCTAAAACTACATTTTTACCTAGTGATCATTCCCCAGTAGTTTTTTGGTCACTTGCATTCTGGCTCTTCAGTTAGACTACAAGCTCTTTGGATTGAAAGTTCAGGTCAGCCGTGTTTTTTAAGCTCTTTTTAATTGCCACCCCATTGCTCCCTCAGCTCTGGGGGTTTCAGATGCACAGTAGACACTTGTGGTCACTCTATTTGCTGTCCATCCTGTCAACAAATACTGCTTATAGTTATTGACTATGCCATTTTAACTTTCCCCCTTTTTCTTTCATTAAAGAAAGGCTTACTTTAATTTTTTTACCCCCCTCTCCCTATTTTTTCCTAAAGTTCCCCTGAAAGGGAGGCCTTTAAAATTATGCTTAAGTTGCACAGTGTACTCAGGGTGGGGACTAATTATGAGGTCTGGAAACTTCTTCAGGTGGCTGGGTTCTGCAGCAGGGACTAAAATACGGCTTTCCTAAATTGAGAACAGCTGGGGCTGTGTTGCCGCCCAGTATAAAAGAGTTGGTGCTGGTGCTCCGTGTTGCAAAGTCTTTGCTCTCTGTGGAGCCTGGGGAAGCTTGAGCCAAAGATACCCTCTCCTCCTCTGTGTCCTGGTGGTGAGTGCCGGCAGCGGGTCCTCTGGGCGTCAAGTTTCTGTTGCCTGGTAGATCTTGCGGTGGCTGTCCCGGAATGTTGTTCCTTTCTAATTTTCCATGCCAATCGTAGGATTTTGCCTTTCGAGGAATAAGTAGAATTCGTTCCCTCAATGAGACATAGCTAACGCTTTCTTTTTTCTCTGTATTATTTTGAAGGCTGTCAGCTTTCCTAGTGTAGAGCGTGTGGCTGTCTCTACCTATCAAAGGATAAACTGAGGCAATACCATTTAAGTGTCTTGAATGTGTGGTTCTTGAATCTGTTCTGGAAAGTAGTCACTTGAGAAGGCTCCAGTTTTTTCAGGGGGAAATAAAAAACGGACTTGACAAATGGAGAGAATGAGTGTTATCCATTCCATGTGAGCAACTCATCCCAGTTTTGTGTTCTTCCAGGTTCATGGAAAGCAGCAGTCTTAGGAAAGAGTGATGTGATCTCTGGAGAGGTTCTAGCTTATTATGACTTCATGGTTAGTAACAAGTAATAGTGTCTGGTGAAGGGTTTGCAAAGTTGGGTCCTGACTTTTATTTAAAGAAATTTTAAAGGAATTGATGATTAAAATGTTTCTATTTATACTGACATCAGCTCAAAAAGAGACAAGAACTCCAAGATAAAATAACTCCATATTTTACAAATAAACTCCATCTCAACAATGTTAACCATGTTCTGACGATATATTTTCAAAGCAAATGGCTCTGGTATTTGCTTCCTTATGTTAATAATGTTTTTTGTTTTGGATGGTTGACAATTGGACAAGCGCAGTTTCTGAACATAGTTTTTGTTTTCTTTTTGCAGGTGGGATAGTAACACCTCTGGGAGAAAGAAAATTGTCTTCCTCTCTCGAAGGTGGTGAGTGGACCACAGGCGGCTACATGGAGGGAACAGTGATCAGATGGTTCCCTTCTACATTTTGTGCTAGGAAACAAAATCAGTTATAGGAATCCATGTTGATCTCGGAAGTAGAAGGATTTAGAAAAGTTAAGTTTGCACAAAAACCAAGAACTTTCCCATCTCCTTTTTGATCTGAAGACTGGGGGACAATGGATATTATAGAGACAGCAAAACTCGAAGAACATATGGAAAATCAAACCAATGATCCCGCAAACACTTACACGAGACCTGCTGAACCTGCTGAAGAAGAAAACAAAAATGGCAACAGTAAACCTAAGAGCTTATCCAATGGGTTGCGAAAGGGCACCAAAAAGTACCCGGACTATATCCAGATTGCTATGCCCACTGAATCCAGGAACAAATTCCCCCTGGAGTGGTGGAAAACAGGCATTGCCTTCGTGTACGCCCTCTTCAACCTCGTCCTAACCACCGTCATGATCACGGTTGTACACGAAAGGGTACCTCCCAAGGAGCTCAGCCCCCCGCTACCAGACAAGTTTTTTGATTACATTGATCGGGTAAAATGGGCATTTTCTGTATCAGAAATCAATGGGATTATATTAGTTGGATTATGGATCACCCAGTGGCTGTTTCTGAGATACAAGTAAGTAGGCTTCCCCATTTGGTGGGGAGGGCTTACCCTACATGTGTGTTTGAGGGGGTAGATGTGTAATTGAAATGGTCTTTCTCGGTTTTGTCTGATAAATTCAGTCCTATCCGGGCATTCGATGACGGGAAGCAACAGAAGGATCTACCGTGTTGAATAAATAAGCATTTATTGAGCAACAGTGTATGAGAGGTAACCATCAGGACATTCCAGATGTACTATGGTTGGTGATTCAGAGTTGACGAATTTAAGGTGCAGTCCAGGGTTTCAGGCTCCTTGGTGCTGTGGGATCTGCATGATAAATCAAGAGACTTAGAAAGGAACAACATTCCCTTCATCATGCTTTTGTTATTTTAGGCTTTTAACAGGTGGGGAATGGAGTGGCTGGGAAATTTCCTCTGTTAACTCATAATGTGACAGGTGGTTTGGTCTGTAGTCAATAGCATTCTCTGAGTTCACAAATTTTACATTTCTTTCCTGTAGCCTGTTGGCAATCGAGTCACAAGAGTTTAAGAAACTGCATTTAGGCGTGGGTCCCCGCAGTTTGGGTTTTAGGTTTCTAAAGTAAGCGTGCTGTCCAGCTTCCCTGTGGCACCACAAAGGACCTCTTATTTCACCAGTTTCGGTCTCCCTGTTTTGGAACAGGGGCAATCAGGAAGGAGTGAGGCCACACACTTTTGCTTTAAAGATGCTTAAAAATAGGACATAGCTCTGAAGTGGTTATTTTTGCTTCCCTGTGAGATCTGACTGCTAGTCCATAAAAACAAGGCCCCTCAATTCCTTTTCCATCTCATTTCTCCTTCAGATGTTTTGTTCTCTACTAAGATGCTAGCAATTAAATCACTAAAATATAAGATCAAAACATTGTCCATACGCGGAGGCTTTTAAAAATGTAATGTCTACTAACTTAGTCCATACTGTTCAAAATGGGATTTCTGCATTCGTGCCACAAGATCATGTTTAGAAGAGAGAATTTATGCTCTACTGTTATTTCAGTTGTTTGTTGCTTCTAGAGTGGTATTCAATCTCTCTTCAGTCCAGAGTTCCCCAAATTCAAGTTTGCACTTTTGAAAGCTTGTTCTGCAAACTGAAGTCATTCCTAAACATTTTCTTTCATGTGTGTAAGTAAAAGGCAGCTACCAACTGTCTTTTACTAGAACTTTTTGCTGCCAAAGTTGTTAAGCTGCGGTATGCTTTATGCCAAAAACAAACAATAGATTTATTGAACTTTAGCGTTTCTCTTTCTGTTGACACTTCTGTTGAAAATAAGAGTCTGCCTCAGCCAAAGGTGTTTGCTTTCTCCCTTAATTTAGATCAACTTTTTATTCATATATATGCATATATATGACTATATATATTCATATTCACATATGAATAGACATGTATATATATATATATATATAGGTATATATATATATATATATAGGTATATATATATACACACACCTATATATAGGTGTATATATATATGAAAAGAGGCCTTTTCCAGGGTCTGGTAAGCAGCTGGCTTCTACTGTGCTTCAGAGCACAGTCTCAATTTATTTGAATCTTTATCTAGAAAGTTATGAGCTGCCTCTCCATGAGCACCTTGGACTTTACCATGTCAAAACTCGTGGGGGCACCTGGGTGGCTCAATCAGTTAAGCGTCTGGCTCTTGATTTCAGCTCAGGTCATGATTCCAGGGTCATCAGATCAAGTCCTGAGTAGGGCTCTGCGCTGGGCGTGGAGCCTGCTTGAGATTCTCCCTCTCCCTCTGTCTGTCCTCTCCCCGCCAAACAAACTTGTGGTCATATAGCTGGCCACACATTGTGATGATGTCCACTGTTTTGGTCACAATCTGTCATCAGAAACTTGTTGGGGAAATCATGCTTTTTCTTTTCTTTCTTTTTTCTTTTTTTTTTTTTTTTTTTTTGCTTTTGAGGTAGAATTGTATCATTTCAGTAACTAATAGAATAATTTTTATAACTTGCTTTGAACATCCTAGCTGAGTGAGAAATCCTACTTGCTCTCTCTTATAAAAGCACCTTATAAAAAATCATTAGCAGTAGTTATTTTTCTAAATAAGGTTTCAGAGTGCACATTTTACTTTCTAAGTTAATTTTCAGTTCTGAATACAGCTGAACTCAGAATGCTGGAATAAATATAATTGACTCATAATAATTCCTGCTTATTACTTCACCTTGTCTAACAGCACGGAGCACACAGTTCAACACTCTTTTTGGGCCTAAGGTTGAAGCAAAGGGTGAATTGTTTTTCACTTAACCAGATGGAGAGACTTGGCCCTGATTATCACCCATTCCTTTTCAGTAGTAGAAAAGGCAGAGTTCGTATAGCAAGAAAGAAATGGCCTTATACAAAATAAATACTTTCACCTAATAGTCTTTTTTTTTAAAGACTTTATTTATTTGATAGAGAGATCACAAGCAACCAGAGAGGGAGGGGGAAGCAGGCTCCCCACTGAGCAGAGAGCCCGATGTGGGACTCGATCCCAGGAACCTGGAATCATGACCTGAGCTGAAGGCAGAGGCTTTAACCCACTGAGCCACCCAGGCACGCTATTAGTCTATTTTTTAAAAGACTGTATTTATTTGAGAGAGAAAGAGTGCATAAGAGTGCACAAAAGAGGAAAAGGGAGAATCAGACTCCCCACTAAGCAGGGAGCTTAACATGAGGCTCAATCCCAGGACCCCGAGATCATGACCTGAGCTAAAGGCAAGACACTTAACCAACTGAGCCACCTAGGCGCCCCTCATTTAGTAGTCTAGGTAGTCTTCTACTGTATATTTTGACCCCAGAAATCCTGGAATATTCTGAAAATAGCTACTGGAAACAAGCAACTAAAATTAGATTCATACATAATTCTGTAAATTAGAAGTCCCAGCAGTTACCTGAATTAGACTTTGATCCACGTCAGACCACAGTCTTGGAGAAAACTAAAAATATGCCACATGCCTGAAACCACCTAGTTTTCCAGAAGTCTTTGATCAGTATTAGTTTTGAAAGTTTGAGACTCTGAAAATGAGAGACCTGTAGGAATATAGTTTATGTGCTGGGAAAGTTACAGCTAGCAATTCCAGGAGCTTTCAGGGCCCCCCATCTCTGACTCTCCAGAACCCAGACTTTATAGACCCACCCCTAATTACACAGCAGAAAACAAGCTGTCATCTTCAGCTGGACATAAGGACACTCAGAACCCTCAAAGCCCACTCAAATAACCCATGGAGCCGTGGCGCCAACAGGCGCCTCTGTGTGCACAAAGTCAGACCTCTGGGAACCACTGCCTTGGAGTGAGGACTCAGGGGTACAGGACAAGAGCTAATGTTACTCCAAGACCATAGTCTCCACCAAAAAATATAAAGTGTAAAAGTACTTGTGGGATTTATCTTTTTTTTTTTTTTTTTGCTTTTTTTGATCTAGGTCGATTAAGCTCAAGGTAAACTGATCAGCCTAGAGCTCACCGTTAAATGCCCACAAAGACACAAGGGTACTTCGGACAGTTTCAGAATCTAGTCCTCTGAAGATCTGTATAATCCCAGACAGAATAGTTCATGCCCAAACTGTGAAAATACTTTTGGATGGTCTCCAAATAAACCTTGCTTATATAACTCAGGTTAAATTAGTTGCCCCACTTCCCTGTGTGTCCAATTATGTAATATCACCTTAGCTCATTACTGAATTCCTCTGCGACCGTGGCTCGTTTATACCTTCGATACGTTCTCAAGAGAATGTTTTATTAATGCACCATGTTGACAGAAAACATAGACCAGTTCATTGAATTCTCTGGTGAAGAGCACCTTTTTAAGGAGAGGTGGTTGTCTAGAACCTTCATCTGCTATAACTTCCCCACTCCCCACAGACATTCCTTTTGGGTCCTAACCCTCCCAGATTTCTTCCAATAGGTGAACCTTCATTTCTGGAACGGTGGGTGGGCCGTTCACACGTAAGCCTGTGTGTGAGCTCTAAAGTGGGTCTGCTCGTGCCCACTCTGTAATAATTCTGTATTCTGTTAAACGTTGTTTTGTGTTGCACTCAGAGCAGAAACCACGAGTCAACTTGTCTCTCCCCATCCCTGTTCTTCCTTCAGGTCAATCGTGGGACGCAGATTCTTTTTTATCATTGGGACTTTATACCTGTATCGCTGTATTACAATGTACGTCACCACTCTCCCTGTGCCCGGAATGCATTTCCAGTGTGCCCCAAAGGTAAGCGCCTCGGAGTTCGCGCGGAGAGGGAATGAAGAGAACACTTGGTGACACCTGCTCGCTCTGTGGCAGGTTCTTTTAGATACTCTTAGAGCTGGTCACTGCAGTCTGGTCCATTTCTTGTTTCTCTTTGGAGTTGGAGGGAAGACATTCCAGTGTGTTCGCAAGACCTGTATCTTGGTGCATTAGAAATTCATGTGCTGCTAACTAAAATTTAGGGCAGGATTTTCAGCTCTGCGTTTTGGCCTTCTCATGTACTCGGCCATGCACTTCTTCATTCTACACGCGTTAAAGCTGCTGCTGTGTACCAGGCCGGGCACTGTAGCCACAGCAGTGACCAAAGCAAAGTCATCGTCCTTTGAGAGTTTATATTCTGTTGAGGGATGGCAGCCGAAAACTAAAGGCACCCCTTGTGACGTGATGATAAGTCAGGCACTATCAGATGAAGAACAGAAAAGGTGAGCCGAGATAATTGGGACGCTGTGGGTGGTACGACTTCAGAGAGAGAGAGAGAGACTTCTGTAGTAAGAAAGCCTTGGGGCAAGACACAACACGGTGAAGTGAGCCGTGTGGTTGGGCGGCACCCCAGGTCACAGCGGACTCAAGAGATGGCAGGGGGCCCATGTGGCTGAGTGGAGGTTGGAAAGGTGGAGGTGGCCCAGGCCGTGGGTCCCCTAGGCCCTTTGTGGCCCACTAAAGTGAAGAGAAGTTGTTCGATTCAGGATGCATTTGGAAGGTAAGGCCAACAGGATGTGCTAAAAGTCAGATATGAGTGTAAGAGAAGCCAAGGAGGACCCCAAAGTTTTTAACACATGGAAAGACGGAATGGTATTTTGCTGGGATACACTTGGGAATGAATACTGAAACTGTCTTGAGCGGGATTTACAGTCTCTCCAGGTAGAGTCCTTTCTTGAGGGAGCCGTTAATCATCTTAGACCCCAGGAGGCCCTGGCTTATTAAAAAAAAAAAAAAAAAAAAAAAGGAAACTTACAAATCATGTGATTTCTGGACAAGGGAGTGAAATCCAACATCATATTTTACTGAACACTAAGCAGATGTCCAAGGTGGAAGAAAAAATAGAGTTCTAAGGAAGTCCACAGTCTCCCTCGCCAAATATAGGTGTGGTTTGGAGAAGCTATAATTTTACAAAGCCATCAAAGCAGAAAGTATCTATAATTAAAACAGTGTACATATTGAATTTAAACATTGGCCGATTTTTAGTGAAACTAATTTAAGGCATGGGAGAAGCTCAGAAACATAATAAACACTCCGAAGGGGGTTATTGCTATGCGTTAAATGAAGAAGCGAGCACAGAAAAGAAGGCAAGCCCATCCCAGTAATGGGTGAGGTTTGCAGAGGTGAATTGCTGTGATTACAGAAAGAAAGCAAATTAAAGGTCACCCCCCCGGAAGAGTTGCAATTTTCAGAAGCCACATCAGTACATGTACGACTGGCTAACCGAGCTACAAATACTCCCAGTGGAAGCCCTGGTGGCCTCCAGACTAGTCCGCCCCCACGTTCCGTTGTCAAGACCTCTTGCTGCCACATAAGCAGGCTGGCTGTGGGTGCTTGAGTGAGGGTTCGGTAACACGGACACATAGATCACTTCGACTGGAGGTGATACGGTGGTACAGAGCAGAAGTCAGGATTGCTTTCTAAACGTGGGCCAGCCACAGGCCTTGAGTGCTCAGAGTTCTGCAGTTCCTAGGCTCCTAGGTCATCTACCTGCCTTCTCTGTTGCTGACTCAGTGGACTGCTCTGTGAGCCTTTGAGCGATGACGGGACCGCGTTTCTGGATACCACTCGGGTAGCGGGGGTGGAGGGGTTGTCAAACACCATCCTCACTGCTTAAAACAGCTTGTTCCTCGGTGGATACAGTCCCCACACGTGATTTCACAAGATTGGGGAAACCCTCGGACTTTGGTTCTCCCCTTGCCTTCTCCCTTATCTATGCCTGGGGCTCCCTTTCAGGCTTTTGCTTACAGATGCTGTCAGCCCACCAGTCCGAGTTTGGGGTTGCAGTCACAAAAACCTGTGTCCAGAGAAGTGTATGTAAATACATTTTGGCCCCGTCATTAGAACTTGAATGAAATGATGGAGTCTTTCCAACCCATTTTGCCACAGGCAAGAATGCTGGTCTGGGATAGCTCTAGTCCCTTTCCTGAGAAAGCTTTCCTGGCCATGGGTGCCCAGAGGACTTTTCTTCTGAACTAAAGGGAAGTGCAGGGTGAGTTTTCTGGTTTGGCACCAGCCGGTCTGGTCTCTCTTGTACTTTCTTGTGGGACATGGCGTGCGGCAGGGACAGCTCCAGGAACCCTTAAGAGCACCGAGCTCTGTCTGCTCTGGGTGCTTGTGATCGACGATGCCTGTCCTCTTAGTCATCTACATCTTCTGTTCCTACCCAGTCAGGGTGTGGAATGGTGTCTGAGAAAATGAGGAAATTAATAAGAACTAGAGTCTTAAGTGGTGAGTAATGCAGTCCCAGTGAACCAAAACAGAATTAGAGGGAAAAAAAGAAAAACATTAACCCCAACCCTCACCATTAGCCTCCCCCACTCTCCCCAGTTTTCTTTCTACCTCTTCACCCCCACTTTCTTGAGGTGCTATTTAGCATTTACACGGAGCACAAATGGACATCTAGGATAGCAATGACAGGATCGAGGAATTATGAACTGCGAAAAGACAGAGCAAGAAGAGAGCGTGCTTCGTCTGTTCTGTAAAGGCATAATGAATCCAGGGCTCTCAGAAATCTCCATTCACCCTCGCTGCTGAAAGGAAGAGGGGAGAAGACCATGTGTGGCAATAGTTCAGCCCCTGGTCTGCTGAGACCTTTGGGTCCGTCTAATCCGGGGTCAGGGGAGGGACTGATGGCTTTAAGTGTTTCTGCCCTTAGAGAATTAGAGTATTGAGTTGGGATAGGTGAGCAGATTAAAAAAAATATGTTAGAGTTTTGAAATGAAGAAGAATGTGTCCTTTTAAACTGGGAACACAGGGTTTGGGCAGCATGTGTACTTTTTAATTTTATCTCGGTGTTAACGGTTGTTTGTACCAACCACGTGATGAGAAGTTCCTGAAGGACTGTGACTGATCCGATAAAGCCCGAGGTGGAGACTGTCTTCCACCTCAAGGCGTGTCACATTATGTCATGTAGTTTGCAGTGCACCACCCTAAGGTTCGCCTGGAGGGGGTCCTGCCACTCCATCAGCAGTGTTTACCCTTCCCCACGTGGGGATCCTCTGCTGCCTTCCAGATCCTATCTTTTCAAGGCAGGATCACCTGCTCCCTGGCATGTTGGTTTAAGGACTCTCAAGTCCTTTCTTTTTTTTTTTTTTTAAGATTTTATTTATCCATTTGAGAGAGAGAGAGCCAGAGCAGAGGGCAGCAGTAGAGGGAGAGGGAGAAGCAGGCTCCCCACTGACAGGGAGCCGGATGTGGGATTTGATCCCAGAACCCTAGAATCATGACCTGAGCTTAACAGCTGCTTAACAGTTTGAGCAACCCGGGCACCCCAAGGACTATGAAGTCTTGATAAAATATCTATGTTCTGGTTTTGCCACCTGTGCTTGGCCTAAGCAAACTTTTGAAGAAAGTCACTTCGTACTTTACCATCTAATCCTGGTTTACGGCATTTTCTCTCGCAGAGCCTTATTCTCAACTATCAACCAATCACGGTGTGTTTGCCTTTTTACATGGGTCATCTGAATACCAGAAAGCTTTCCAGATCTGTATGAATTTTTTTTTTTTAATCAGGAAGGTTCTAGGGTCCCCAGGAGTCATGTTTTCAGCAGGGAATCCTGCCCCGATTCCTGTCCTGCTGGATAGGATGGTTTTCCAGTTGCTTTAGAGGCTAACTGAATTTCTCTACTCCCAGACCCTCCTCCCATCTACCCGTAGGCATCTACCCTCCTTCACTCCCTTGCATCTACTTGGGCTTCTGCCTGTTTTCAGCACCTGTTAAACCACTACCAAGGCTGGACTGGCCATGCTTCAGGGGCCAGTTGCCTAAAGGATCATCATTGAATATAAAAGGTAGCATGTCCTAGAACTGGCCCCTTAGGTCCCCAATGACTAATTATTAGTGGCCTTTCTATATTTCTCTTTTCATGTGTACTGTTACCCAAATATATTTCTGAGGATTATTCTTTGATTTTCTATGCCTGCTCGCCTGATACTAGATTGATCTGAAACCTTCTTTCTGGCTCCCAAGCATTTCAGTATTCCAGTTTTCCATGCCTACCATTTTGACCCACTCCGTCTACTCCTTCGTATATGCGTCAGTTTTAATGGGATATAAACTTTTGGCTATTGGGTCAAACTCCTGTCCTAGCCCGTCATTCTTTCCTATGTCATCATGGTGGCTTCTAGGGGCTTTTGTACCACTGTCCACCAGAGCGCTCCTCTGTCCCTCTGCAACAACAGATTATTTCCTTAGGGGATGTTTTTCCTGACCAAAGCTACTCACTTTTAAAGCTCAATACATCTCTAATGCACCATTTGCAAACCTATTTGAATTATGTAATGTGTTGCAGCTCCTAACTGTAAATGTCTTGATCAGATATTAATACAGCTCTATGCACACTTTAGGCTGCCCACTTAACACAAGGTCCCCAAACACACTTTAGAATATTAGTAATGTGGTATTCAGCTGAATCAAATATTAACCATCCGAAACCCTGACATCCCCCTACAAAGAGGAAAGAAAGTAGCTTTGATCTTTTTAGTGCATAGCTGTGGTGAAGTCATTGGTTATTAATATTTTTAAAAGCTTTGCCCAAGGACACACCACCACTGAACATATTATTAGTAACATACTGAATAATTGAAAACGTGTCACTAAAACTCTCCAGTACAACAAACTGAATTTGAGGATCTTCCCCCTTGGCTTCTTTTTGACTTTTTTAAGTTAAAAGGGAAAAAAGCACAACCTTTTCTTCTAAGTATCACACAAATTAGGCTGAAGTGTGATTTTACTGGCTCATAAATTTTCTTCCTGACCTTGTGTCTTTCAGCTCAACGGAGACTCACAGGCGAAAATACAACGAATTCTACGATTGATTTCCGGTGGTGGGCTGTCCATAACTGGATCCCATATCCTGTGTGGAGACTTCCTCTTCAGCGGTCACACCGTTGTGCTGACACTTACTTATTTGTTCATCAAAGAATGTGAGTACTAACTGCTTCCCACTCTGTTGACTACTGTCGTGGGAGGGATCCCGAAGCCTGGAAACTGCTGGGAACCCTTGTTCCATTAGGATGGCTAGCTATGAAAGAGACAGGTGTGCACCTGTGTGTATGTGCATATTTAAATCATTTCAACTAGCCGTATGTGATTTGGACACTGGAGGCTTAAAACCTGGATTCTCTAACATTTAGCATGCCGCCACAATGTCTCTCACCCTCCTCTTCTCAAAGTATGAAAAGTTATTATAGCGTTGGAACTAAGAAAAAGTGTTTGGCTTATTGCAAAAAGAATCAGTGCACTGGAAATGTAAATGACTTACGAGTGAAAATTCCATTGTATGGAATGTCCATTCCATCATTCCAAATAATTTAATGTTTTCCCCCTTTTTAGATGTTTTCTTGTCCCATTCCAGTGTCACCATTTTCCAGCTGAGTTCTATGATCTTTTTTTTTTTAAGATTTTGTTTATTTATTTGACAGACTTATTTATTTATTTATTTATTTATTTATTTGACACAAGTAGGCAGAGAGGCAGGCAGAGAGAGGAAGGGAAGCAGGTTCTCCACTGAGCAGAGAGCCCGATGCGGGGCTCGATCCCAGGACCCTGGGATCATGACCCGAGCCGAAGGCAGAGGCTTTGACCCACTGAGCCACCCAGGTGACCCGATTTAGTAGGCATCTTTAAGGAACATTTTGCCAGTATTGATCATTTCTTTCTACAAAACAATGTGTAGGCAAGAACGTGAAGTATCTTTCCATAATAATACACTTAATTCCCATTCTACAAAATCCTTGTGTATACCATCAGTTTTCAGGGCTGGTATAAGGTCTCCTTCATTGTGGGCTCTGTATTTTAGTCACCAGGCAGATCCCCTTGTTGTCGATTTCTGATGTTTGATTTAATTAGACCCATTATCTCAAAGTCCTTTCAAAGTGAGTGATACTTTTTCCTTGCAACACTGGTCAGGTTAACCTTCCCCTTTAGTTGCAGGATCCTCTCCAGTGTTTCTTAGAGCTTTATCTCAACTTTCTTCACTTATGCAGCATTGTAAGGAAGTCTTCTGGCAAAGACCAGCAGAAGGATGCTTCCCCATCTGTTGTCCTGCTTCTTCCACCCTCTCTTGGCCTATCATTAATCCAAACAGGTTCAGCCTCGCCCAGTGGCAGTGTGGAGTCAGAGTTTATCTGTTAGTGGTACAGAAGGAAGTTTTTTTGGGAGGGGCGGGGGGGTTAGTTTTTTTATTTATTTGACAGAGAGAGAGAGATCACAAGTAGGCAGAGCAGCAGACAGAGAGAGAGGGGGAAGCAGGCTCCCCGCTGAGCAGAGAACCCGATGCAGGGCTCGATCCCAGGACCCTGAGCCATAGAGAGAGGCTTAACCCCCTGAGCCACCCAGGCACCCCCAGAAAGGAGTTCTTGTCCTTTAGGTTTCCTGGGGTTTTTTTTAGGTTTAAATTCTGCTTTGAGAGTATTATGACAAAGAACTGAGGTTCTTTACAGTAGATGAACTGAAGCCTTTTTTTGGTAAGAATTGTGTAGCTTCTGAGTTGTTTCCTTTGTAAATGCCACACGCCCACTTGGGGTACAGAGAGTATAGCGTGTTAAGTGCACAGCATCTGCCACATCTGTTTTATGGCAGAGGGCGTTCTGGAACTTTCCCCTTATTTCTGCCTTCACCCTCACGCTGTGGGAGGTGGTAATGGGAAGAAACCTGAGTCTGTTTCTGCACCAAAATCAGGGGGTTGTCTCTTCCTTAAGTGTCAGTCACTACATGTCTAAGTCTTGGTTACTGGTTCTGATGAGCTAATAGAGTGATCTGGGTCATTTATGATTCTAACTCTAACTTTTGTTGGAAAAAGTTCCACCGGTGTGTAAGATCCATTATTTGCCAGTCTGGAGGTGTATTGGAGTTATAGAAGCTTCTCTCTAATCTGAAAATCATAGGAAACGTACAGAAGAAGATGAGGCTGAGGATGGGGAAGAATTTCGTGTTGGAGCAAAGCCCTTGTGGGTTCAAAGTAACGAAGAGAACCACCCCAGAAGACCGAAGACCAATTGTATAAAATAACCAAAGACCAAGGGCTGTTGTCAGCAATAGCAAAGAAACCTGATACTCTGTGCCAGGCACTATTCTAAGCCCTGGATGCAAAATAACTCACTCACCCCTGCAGCCACCCCAAGAGAGAAGCCCTATTTTCCCCATTTTTCAGAGGGGAACTTAAACATCAAGTGAATGACTTCCCACAGTCCCCAGTTGGTAACTGGAGGATGGGATGTTCCAACTTAACCAGGCTGACCCCAGAGGTTATGCTGTTAATTTCTTGGCTCTGTTTAGAATATTGGGGAACCCAAGTTGTCTGAGCTTATAAAATTGCTAAGGAATTGTCTGGGTCTCTTGCTGATGATCTTTCTTTTACTTTAGAGCAATAGTAATGCAGTATGTAGAGAGATTTTCTTCCCCTGGCATGATGTTGGTTTGAGGTTTTTAAAACTTGTGTAAGTTTACATACAGCTGTGAAAGAATTACGTTCTGCTTTTTCTCATTTTTGGTGAGAAATGAAATGGCAGATCTGTGATGCTTAATACAAACCTGGCTCTAGAATCAGTTCTGCCAATGAACAGGGCATTGCATGCGTGTACTTGTTTCCTGTGCAATTAGGAAAAACCATCACCTTCTAAATGATACCATGTGTTGTCCTTCTGAGTAAGCCGTGCTCCCAGTGGCTTCTTTGAGCAGTCTGTTTCTAGAATTCGATGCATCTTTCCTATGTTTTTTTGTCGTCCTGCCTTTTGATCTGTTTGGTCTCTTTCCTTGTTTGCGTGGTTGTCATGACTAGATTTGAATGGCGTCAAGAGAACAGATGAAAACGTGGGACCAGGACCGTTTTTGTGGGCTTTCCACAGTTATGTAAATATTATCACTGGGGCCTGGGTTCCTTATAAAATTAGCCTGAAGAAGTCAGCCCTAGTGGTTAAAACCAAATGTCTTGCTAGGAAAGGGGGAAATTTTTCTTTTCTTTCTTTCTTTCTTTCTTTTTTTTTTTTTTTAAACCTTGCTACTACATAAAACCCATTGTCTGTATGATTATCCAATGACAGCTAGGGCTAGGATCCCACACAGACAAGTGGAGTGGATTAATATTTGTATCACCATATTTCAGTTCTTCCTGTAGAAGAATGGGAAAGCAGAAAGGGGTTACCATTTTCCCATTTCTATTTCAAGATAATTTATACTAAATCTTTTCTTCGGGTCAGCCACTGTGCTCAGTTAGTGAGCCGTGGTCGCAATGTGACTGCATAACGGGGAACACGTTTCTGTGGAAGAGCAGCGGTAGTATTTCCAGCCCTTCCTGAAACTTGGTTCTTAATTCCACAAGCAGTAAAATGACCGTTCAGCTCACCCCTTCACTCCTTGTCTGCTTCAGCTTTGCTTCTTGTGGATAAACAAAGGCAAAATGGTCCTGGCTTGCCCAATCAGTTCCCACTTCTAAGGCAATAAGTACCAGGGGACCTATCAGCGGAGGAAACTGGGTGGGTGGGAGACCTTGGGGAAGGGGTGGAGTTTGGAATTCTAAAGAAGGCACAGTTAGGGAAGGCTCCAGATTTCTAAATGGTGGATCCATTTTGAGCATTCTCCGCCTAACAGAACAGTTGTGGGGCCTGGATCTGGCCACCCAAGCCATAAAGGGTAAGGCCTCTTCCAGCTTTAAAACTCTAGGAGTCTGTCAGTTATGTGCTAAAACTTAGAGGCAGGATGAACCAACTGAGAAGGAATAAGGACCAAAATCGGGACCAAAATTGTTTTTCATTTGAAAGATACCTGATTTGGTATTTCCTCTGAACTTCTGGAAATGAACCCTCTTGGTCTTTGACCATAGTTCTGCACTTAGAAATAAATGTCACTATGAATAGAGACACAGGTAAATAGGAAATGATTCTGTTTGTGAGAATATTAACATTGTGAGCCAATAAGGCTTTAAAATAGAAAAAAAAAAAAAAGGAGGCGGGTGATGCCTGGGCGGCTTAGTCATTAAGCATCTGCCTTTGACTCAGGTCATGATCCCAGGGTCCTGGAATTGAGTCCCACATGAGCTCCCTGCTCAGCAGGAAGCCTGCTTTTCCCTTTCCCACTCCCCCTGCTTGTGTTCCCCTCTTTCGTGTCTCTTTCCGTCAAATAAATAAATAAAATCTTTAAAATAAAATGAAATAAAGGAAACCACTGTTAAAGAAAAGAGAAAGATATTGGCAATGAACCAGAGGTTGCGTCTCTACCTGTGTGGCCTTGGCACCTGTGGGGGCAAGCTGTGGGCCTGATCCTGTCTCACCTGATGCGTGCTCTGGTTCTCTCTTACAGCCGATCAATAGGATGACCTTCTTAGTGGACTCACTAGGAAGGCTAAAATCCACAAGTGAATGAGCCAGGATCCTAAGCTTTATATAGGGAGCATTTATAGTTGATATTAGCAATAACAGTATAAAACTGCTGAGAAGCAAAATATTGCTAGCCGAATGCTGTTTTTCTCCCTCTGGAGAAATCAGAGTAAGTTTCTGTACAACCTGAAATGACTCTTGCTTTCTCATTTTCCTCCATATTTTCCTTGACAACTACCCTTGCTTTTGACGCCTACTGCTTTTCTTCCCAGTGGGATCCCTTCCGTGAGCCGGTATGAGCCAGTTCCAACCACCCTAATAAACAACTCTGCTCTCTTACTTATTGAATGGCTTAGCAGTGGGCAAGGTCTAGGATATCTAGAGGACTGTTCTCCAGTGAATGTTCCACCTGCCACCAGGGGTCTCCCTCCTGCTTCCTCCCTGTCTCAGCAAATCCTGAGGGGTTGACAGTGACTGTCTGGGGGGTTTAATCGGTTTCCTTCTTCCGCTGACTTCCTGATCTTAGATTATTCTACTTAAGGTCATTAGCGTAGATGGTAATGGGTAATCGTTAAATTCATCTCTGGGAACCCCATTAACGCTATGCTTTTTCTACCATCTAGATTCGCCTCGTCACTTCTGGTGGTATCATTTAATCTGCTGGCTGCTGAGTGCCGCCGGGATCATCTGCATCCTTGTAGCTCATGAACACTATACTGTTGATGTGATCATTGCTTATTACATTACAACACGGCTGTTTTGGTGGTACCATTCAATGGCCAATGAAAAGGTGAGAGCAGTGAAGTCATCCCTGGGTAATTTCTTTTCTTTCAGTGCAGTGGCCCTTTTTTCATACAGCGGGGGTTCAGATAGCTTTGTGGGGATGACCATGGGGTGGCCACTCACGTGTGTGGTCTGGGTCAGTTCACCGAAACGTAGACCCATAATGGCCTCTTCAACCAAGTCATGTCACAAATATAAATGACATTTAAGGACCAAAGTTCCGTAAAATTATAGAGCACAGTGTTTTCCTCATTTGACTAATCAGTACTAGAACTGAAGAAGTATAAATGCTAACTTGAAATACAGGAACCTTCTCTCTAGAAGCATTGTGCTGCAGCTCGGTAAGACGTGCTCCCTGCCCTCAAAGAACCTAATTTTGAGGAAAAGAACAGCAATTATTTTTAAACTTCAGGCAAAATAAGTAGTCCGTGGCTTCCTGGATTTAGTATATCTTTTGGTGATACTGGGCTCTCTGGCCTCCCTTCTTATACTTCCTTATTTGTTACTGTTGCCTTCTGTCCCCAGACAACCTTGTCTTTGCTTCTGCTGCTCACGCTGTAAGAGCTAACTGAAAGGCTATGTCTTCTGGGAAGACTCCCTAACTCCTGCTCTCTTCCTGTCATCCCAGGATGGGATGGTTCCTCCCCTTCTCTCTGTTTTCCTAGTCTAGGGGTGTGTATGTGTGCCTGGTGTCAGAGAGTGAGCCCGTGTAGCACAATTTTTCTTTGGATAGTCTCGCCATATTGTCCAGTGCATACAATTTGTGAGCAGATGTCCTCTGTAAAGGGTCTAATTCCAGCTCTCATTTAGTGGTATCCGCGGATAGATGCCCTCTCAGTGGGTAGCTCTCCTCCCATTTTGTAGACTCCCATTTCCACCTTTCTTCCTTCTTACACTTATATCTGGGTGTCTCCTGACACCATCCACCTGAAACCTTCACCTTTCACCTTAGATCTGCTCTACCCTGTGAGCTCGCCTTTCACCCCTCCACCTTCCTCAGCCTCGACCACCTGCTCACATGTCCTGAGATCGGGTCCTCCTTGCCGACCCTCACATCCATGCCCGAGTCTCTTACTAGGATTGCAGGCAGAAGAATTTACATAAGCTGGAAAGGGGCCTGAGACCAGAAACGTGTCAGAATCAAGGAAAAGACTCAAAAACAATTACTGCCAGGATGACTGGGTGGCTCAGTAGGTTAAGCGGCTGCCTTCAGCTCAGGTCATGATCTCAGGGTCCTGGGATTGAGTCCTGCATCAGGCTCCCTGCAGAACAGGAAGCCTGCTTCTCCTTCTGCCTCCCGCTACCCCTGCTTGTGTGCTGCATGTCTCTATCTGTCTCTCTCTCTGTCAAATAAATAAATAAAATCTTTAAAAAAAACAAAACAAATAAAACAAAGACACTTATTGCCTTGATCCTGATTCCTCTGCTTTCTCTGTTACGGTACAATGAATGACAAGTTAATTAAGAAAAAAGATAGGATGCAAATGATGAAAAATAGGGTCTCATTTCCTTCTTCTTCTTCTTCTTCTTTTTTTTTTTTTTTACTATTTGCAGAACTTGAAGGTCTCTTCACAGACTAATTTCTTGTCCCGAGCCTGGTGGTTCCCCATCTTTTATTTTTTCGAGAAAAACGTACAAGGCTCAATTCCTTGCTGCTTCTCCTGGCCGCTCTCCTGGCCCCCTGGCTGCTTTAAGTCTTCATGCAAAAAGTATTCCCGGGTTCAGAAGATCGGCGAAGATAATGAGAAATCTACCTGAGGAGCAAAAACAAAGGCATCAGCTCTTAAACCAAAAGAGTTAACGCTGTAACCAAAGGTATAGTTTTGGGTTTTTATTTTAGAAGAACTGACTGGTAAATGAAGAAATGCACCAAATTCCGTGTAAACGATTAGAGAGATGAACGAAGTATTACCCTTTGACCGTTTTTTTATTCATCCTGAGAAAAGCATATTCTCCTGCAGCTCTTCCTTCATTGGTGACAAGCCCCCAAACTGGGATTTTATTAATGAGCTTGTTAAAGAGGTGCCAAAGAACCTACTCTTCCTTCTCCTTATACTTTAGCCACTAATGCCCTCTACAGAAATTTTTCAGGATTTTTTTTTTTTTTTTTTTTTTTTTTTTTTTGCCTCCGAGGTCAGAAGAATTTGTTAATGTTTTAAATAAAATGTCTGGATACATACAGCTACTGTGTAAATAGAATAACCTCATGTTGAGAGTGGTTTTAGCATTAGGCTTTTTAAGGAGGGGAAGATCTGTCAGTTGTAAGTGAACTTGAGGTGAACTTCGTTTCCACCTTGTCCTGGGGAAGGTCAAGGTCAGGTCTGGGAATGTGCACCTGCTGCTACCACCCACTGCACCATGTATCACTTTTACTTTTTTTTGTAAACTGATAATTTTATAAAAAGAAAGAAAAGTGATCTATTGTGGAAGAATTTGACCCATCTCACAGCTTTTATGTGTGTGTAAATATTCTGCTTTAAAATCTCTATGACAGATACACAGGAAACATGGAGCTATTTCTGTTAAATGAGTGGTCTTTGTGCACACATGTGTGTGCTCTCTGCCTGGTAAATTTGCATCCATCCCCCCACCCCAGGGCAGACAGCTGCTCCAGCACAGGCTAAAAACACGTGTGTATGTGAACAGAAACTCATGCCACTTGAGGGACAAGCTGGCGTTTCTCTCCCATCCTACCCTGTGTGAGATGTTCTAGATGTTCTAGAGCTGCTCACTGGAACTCAGAAACACAGCTGGTCACGTTTCACTGAAAACTCTTTCTTCTTAGGTACATTGTACTTTCTGGAAAAACCAAGATGGAGTCTAAAAGTGTCGTGTATCCTTGCTTTTTAGCAAGAGACTCAGCTTCTATAAACTGGTCCTAAGGACATATGCCACAATTGAGTAATTTTACTTTGATCCTGAAATTACACCACGGTGCTGTATATAATCTACTGTTGGAATCAGTCTGTTAGACAGGGACAGCGACCCAGTAAAGGGGGATCTTCGTTTCTAAAGTTCTTTGAGGTGATGCAAAAAGAAGATGGGTTTTTAAAAATTGAATCAGATTAATGCTGTCAGAGTTGGTTCTTTTTTTTTTTTTTAAGATTTTATTTATTTATTTGACAGTCAGACAGCAAGAGAGGGAACCCAAGCAGAGGGAGGGGGAAAGGGAGAATCAGGCTTCTGGCTGAGCAGGGAGCCTGATGCAGGGCTTAGTCCCAGGACCCTGAGATCATGACCTGAGCTGAAGGCTGACGCTTAACGACTGAGCCACCCAGGTGCCCCCAAGTTGGTCCATTTCTTGAGCCTTCTACTAACGCCAGAACAAGATTTGTGGTTACAGAAGCATCAACACTAAATCAGAAGACAGGCCAATGAGGTGTGGAAGGGGCAGTTACATTTATATTGAAGGTAAAAATTTCCCTCCCCATAGGAATGAAATATACCCCTGAATTTGTCATTATAAACTAGTTTGCCATGATTTGATATACAAAATTGACCTTCAGATTGCTTGAGAGAAGCACAATACAAATCTTTTCAGAAGGGTCATTATTTTTGGTGCTAAAATTCTGTGTCTGTATTCAGTACATCTCTTTCTCTGAGTAGCAGAAGAATCACTAAAGGAAAGGTAGTTGAATTCAAAGGCAGGGAAAGAGTATTTAAAACAAGAATGGAAATCCTGAATATCCTTGGCAGGCTTTGAAATGCAAGGAGTTTTCTGGTATTTGTTATTAAATAAACCAATAAGAAACTATAGCTTACTGATGTGCTTAAGCCAGAATTCTGTCTTTCGTTTGCTAAATATTGACACTTGTGATATGTAAGGTGTCATGCTTTAAATACTGAATTTCCATTCCTGCTGTCCAATTATGAAGAAAAGCATCTGACACTGAAGCCTGGGTTTTGTGCTCCTGACCTTGATCTATTCCTTGAGCATCTAATTCCTAACCTGATAGACCTGAGAGCCTTATTCAGCAGTGTCTTGGATAACCTAATTTTCTTCAAGTTAAATAAGGAAAAGTATTTAAGATTTTAAAATCATGATGTGTTGATTGTAGGAGAACCTTGAAACAGTAAACCTTGGATTTTCGTCGGGTGATGCAGTTTTTTAAAAAAATACCATCACCTTTTAAAGAACTTTAAAAACCTCTCTGACCTCACATGTTCCTTACATGTATGTGTCACAAGTGTCTAATAGACACCAAGGAAGCATATGATTTGAAAAGAAGGAGGGAAAACATCAAAGTTTCAAGATGGGAAAATGAAGGAAATACAGAAACTCATTTACATTTAGCAAAGCAAACTTGAGGCTTAACCTAATACGCTCCTTTGGGATAGAAAACTTAAACAATTATGATCATGCCTTTGAAATGGTGAATTTTTGGAGCTCCTTTTCCTTGATAATTGCAATATGAGATCTTATCCATTATCCTTGTTTTTGTAAACCAGAGTAGTCCCGTTCGAAGCTTTTCTTGGGATTGAGTCCTCCTGTGCAATATCTATAACAGGATTCCCGTAAATTATGGCACATTTTTTCTAAATTCTTTCAGATGGAAATTCAGATTCTATTTTTTGAGCTCCTCCAAAGCTCTGAAAATAAAGCATTGCTCCTGATTCCACCCAGAGTGATTTTAAATTTCTTATTTAATTTATTGGCATCTTGGGAAACAAGTTGTGCTGAGTAAAGAAGGCCTGATTGGAGCGAGCCTGAGCCCCTGGTCTGGTGTAAGGAGGACCTTGCCTAAGGTTCTTTGCTGTGTAGCAGTGCCGCCTAGTGGAGATATGTTGTATGACTTGGAACGCAGACTTGCCACTTTAAAGTTTCTATTTTCAAGTTTTTAAAAGGCATTGGTGGTGGTGTTGTTTTGTCTTGTTTTGTTTTCGCCGGTAATCTGAAAGCGCCATGCAAAAGGGATTGTTTTAAAGGTCTTTTAAACCTTTCCCAAAGGGAAAATGTGCTTAGATCCCAGGGAGTTGCAATTCTAATCGTTTGTCCATTCGATCAAAGAAAATTTGCAGACCATTTTACCTCTCATTATCACAATCGTTAATGTCTCCCTTTATAACTACCTATACTTTGTTTACTCTGAAACACCAGGTTGGCAGTCTTTCTTATTTTGATTTGTATTTTATTTTTACATGCTAGATCTCAAGCAGCTTTTTTAATTAGAAGTTCACATCTTGTTTCTTCAATATTTTAAGCATTTCCTTATTTGTTTGTCATTTTTGTTTTGCACTGTAAAACTCTTTAAAAATTTAAGCCGGTTCTAACCTACTCACTTCTGTACTGCAAGGAAGTGTAAGAAGGAATTTATTGATAAATGAGTTTACAAGTTTTAAATTGAGCATGTTATAAGTAATATGCCATGTGATGAAGGCTTTTCTATTTGTATGTATAAAGATTTCTGGTATTTTTTTTAATGTCATTGTGTTGCAATAATTTAACTCCTTTGACTTACTTGCTAAGAATATTTCTATTAAGAAGTGCTCTTGACTTCAATACCTAAACACTGAAAATCATGTCAAAGGTACCCAAAGATAAGTTTTTATACAGATACACACCTTATAAGTTCTGATTTATTTTATTACTCATTAACCTAATTATGTGGTGTTCTAAATGAATCATGAATGAGAATAGTTCTTTATTATGGAATTATTGAAAACTGTCCTTTAAAAGAAAAAAAAGAAAGAAACTGTAAACATGAGCTAATCTAGTTGCCAAGTTGGAATTCATTATTTAATTTACCTCCTATGCAATGATTAATGCTGCAAAATGTATGGTTATGTTACAGTATATTCATAAAAGAAATATCATTACAAGGTGTGAGAGCTAGCCAGTTGCATTCTTTCAGAAATTTACTGTACTGTTTCAATGTGTTAAGTGCCTTGTTGTAAAGTAAAATTTTAAGTCTAGAATTCATTATTTTCTTGACATATTTTTCATTATAATATATACTGTATGCTATTGTAATAGTTTTATTAAATGCTTATATTTTAATCAAACATGTAAATTTCAGAAGCTCTTTTCTCCTACCCCCAGTCAGTACCTTAATCATTTGTCTCTCCTATGGGATTTGCGTTCAGGTTTGTTGCTGTAATTGTTGTTGCTGTTTTTTAAAGAGGAAATTATCTTTGTTGAGAAATGTTTCCCATGCTTGTGCTTCTGTGTTCGTAAAAACATTTCAGGAGGAATTTAGGAGTGGAACTATAGTTTATACTTCTAAAAATGCCATTTTACATTTACATTTTAAGTGCCTAATTGTTAAAAACTAATTTATGTTTCTACTCTAAAGAGGATATGTGTACTTGGTTTCTAATCTCCTTGGCTTTGCTTTAAAAAAAAAAGAAAAAAAAAAAAAAAAAAAACAAGAGCCTATACTTTGTATTTACAAATAAACCACAGTGACATCAACAGTCTTTTCAAAATTAGTATTACTGTTTCTTTCTACTTTAAAAAAAAATGTGTTTTCTTTAAAGGTTTTAAATTTTTGTTTGGTTTTAAGTACTTACTAAAACCACAAGAGGATTATTTTCTCCAAGCACTATTTAAAAAATAAGGTGATAACCTTCAATTAATAGAACTGTAAGTAGACTGGACTGTGTTATTTTTCCCACCCTTGGGCTTAAGGTGAAAAATAATTCAGAGCAATGTAAGGTCATTTGTGGAGAAGTAAAAAAAATCGACTACACACTCCATGATTCTGATCTCCACTGTTCGCAAAAGAACAAAATCATTAATTCTTGAAGGAAAGCAGAGTCCTTCCTGTTCCTCAGTTCTGAAAGAAATGGCGGCATCCTGGGTTCCCTAAATGGGGCACTGGGGTGATGTCCTCTCCTAGACTTGGCAACTGTCACTGCCTCAGATGGCAGCAAGTTGTTTCCAGAGCCTGGAGGAAAGATGAAGGCTTGACCCCAGCAAGGACAGACTTAGTAAAGGCGGTTCAGTGAGACAAGGGGAAGTAAGATCATATGGTTCAAAGGTTAAGGTGTTGGATACAGGTCACGTTTTTTCTTTAGATGATCTGAACACAGTACAGATGGGAATAGTCTTTCTGCCACCCACATCCGAGCCTTGGATGGAAAGCTCATTTCACTGATGATCCCATTTTCCCGCATGGAACATTGGCAGGTTTCATTGGCCATAAGCTCAAAGACTGCCCTCGTCTAGAAGGCATTACACAAGGAACTGCTGCCATGCTCTGTAAACCTTGACATGTAACATTTCCTTTGCTTCTAACGGATGAGACTTCAAGAAGCAGAATACTGGATTACTCCCTAATGTCAGTTAGAATAGGAATGGATTATGGGCTACTGTGTGTCTGTGTCATGCAGATTTAATTCCTGTGCAGCACCTGTAATGAGGCATAACATTTTAGTTATTTTATGCTTGACATACATTCTTTAATCTTCACAAAACCCTGTGAAGTAGGTAAGGAA